ATCAAACTTAAGCAGAGAATGAGTTATATAGTTCCTGACCAAACCGACCTTTTTTAGTTCTTTAAATTATTCCTTTGTGAAGGAGCAACAAGGACAAATTCCAACAGATTTAACACTTAGTGACGCTTTGAAATAAGCTGAATTATTTTCAGCAGTAGCCAAGGCAGTTGTTGAGGGGTTGAACAATGAGATTCACGAATCCCCCATAATTTCTTACGTTGGGGTTTTTAATAAGTACTTTTTGTTACTCTCAATAAAACACGTGTCGTTTCTAATGGAATGCCTTTAGCGATTTAAATCGACCATCCAAACACCGTAAGGTATAACGGTTTCCGAGAAAAAAAATTTGTTATTAGACACTATAAGTATACAGCGCGGCGCGGACTTTGGGGGTGAATTTGACCCCGTTGGGCACCTCCAAAATTGATGAAATTTTAGGATGATTTAGAGGATGCCTTTAGCGATTTAAATCGACCATCCAAACACCGTAAGGTATAACGGTTTCCGAGAAAAAAAATTTGTTATTAGACACTATAGGTATACAGCACGGCGCGGACTTTGGGGGTGAATTTGACCCCGTTGGGCACCTCCAAAATTGATGAAATTTTAGGATGATTTAGAGGATGCCTTTAGCGATTGAAATCAACCATCCAAACACCGTAATGTATTACGGTTTCCGAGAAAAAAAATGTGTTATTAGACACTATAGGTATACAGCGCGGCGCGGACTTTGGGGGTGAATTTGACCCCGTTGGGCACCTCCAAAATTGATGAAATTTTAGGATGATTTAGAGGATGCCTTTAGCGATTTAAATCGACCGTCAAAACACCGTAACCCTTAACGGCTTCAGAGAAACAATTTTGTTATTAAATTGTACACGTATGTAGACCAGATAGCAGGTGCCTTTAGCGATTTTAATAGATTATGAAAACTGCGAAACTCTTAATATTTCATGGAAAAAATAAATTTTGTTAAGAAAGGCATTTTGTAGTTTTATGGGCTTTTCGTCGTTACTGGCAAAGGGTAAGAACTCCGCCACGTGCAGTTACAAAAGGCGCAGGTATTAAGGAAAAAATATGTCCATATTTTTTGCATTATAAGTGCATTCCGGGAAAATAGTTGCCGACTTATTCGGTGTTGTTTTAGAGCTTATACACATTTTTTAGATTTTGCCAGAAGGGTGAGGAGTAAACTTATAAATGTGCTTAAACTATTCTATTGGGGACGGAGATCACTAGTTGATATATTTTGCTGTAGTTCGCGCTTTATGGATATTTTATCGGTTCTTTTTAGAATCAATCTGCTTCGATATTTTCGTTAATATTTTTGTGTATATAATATATTGTGTATAAGTGTTGGTATTAAATATATAATATATATATTAATATTTTGCCGAGGCAACGACGTCATCATTTAGGAGCGCGGTCGAAGTTAATAAAGAAATAGTGATATGCAGAAACTTATTTTTGATGTTAATAAATGTACAGGGAATTCCTTTTTAACTTCTTTTCGGTAAAAAGGTCACTTAAGCAGGTACGTAGCTTACGAGTTAGTGCATTGTAAGTACACTTACACCGGCTTTGACCAATCATAACCATGGATATTAGTGTAACACAGGTAAGAACTTAATAATATATATAGGTTCCTCAGCTATTGCAGAGATCAGTTGTTCTAGTTATCTCTTGTTAAAACTAGTGACCAGTGAAGATGCCTACGAAATTACTGTTTTTGGCTGATAGTAATTTTTGCCGAATGCTACGTACTATACAAAGTAAGTATTTGTTCTAACAGATGTGAAATTAATTCCTACTAATGGTATATATTTTAGGACGACAATGAAAACGGACAAGCAAGGGAAAATATTTCCTCGACTTAGCAGTAGGCGGTCAAACAATACTGAATGTATTCCAAAAACATGTTCCCCTTGGTTTTGTGGAGATATTGTTGAACGACATATCGTTATAATGATAGGAACTAACGATATACTCCACAAAACATCACCATCCCAACTGAAGTACCAATATTCTCACCTCTTTCGCTTCCTCTTTTCCTTAAATCCTAAAGGAATACAAATTTGCACAATTCCTCCCTGCAAAAACTTCGAGTCTGTGAACATAAGATATTATAATTTCTATGTCATGCTATGAATAAATACTCTCCATGCCTTTATAGGAAATCATTGCACACATTCTCACATCTCACATTACATTCGATGGTTTTGTGCTGAAAAGCAAATCAATTGTACCGACATTGAAGCAATTGTTAAGAGAAACATGATGGAAGGGTAATAAAACGTAAAAATGTTTCTTTTCTTATGTATTTAATACAAATTTCTACACAGGGACGGCATTCACTTAATGAACAAGGGTTGGAAGCGGTCTGGAACGCCGTAGCAAGTAATTATAATCATATTCTCAATCCATTACACAATTTAATTATAAGTAAAACAGACCATTAATATAATAAATTTCTTTCTCTATCAAAAGTTTTTTTTCCTCTCAAAAATCCACCCTCCAAATGAGCCTAAAATTTCAAAAGTACCCATCGGGGTCAAATTCACCCCCAAAGTATGCGCCGCGCTGTATACCCATAGTGTATACCTATAGTGTCTAATAACAAATTTGTTTTCTCGGAAACCGGAACCTCGAATTGGAAAACCAGGCGATGGGGACGTCAAAAAACCAACGAACGTCACAAGGCAGGTGAAAACCAAAACACAAGAGAGGAGAAAACCAAAAACTCTAAGAGCTTCAGAAACGTACAACCACGTTAAAAAGACGTACGCCATATTGCCGAAGGACGCGCAAGCGCATAACGGGGTCGATATATCGACAAATTAGCGGGAAATTTCAAAGGACTCAAAAAAACCAAGGTTAGAAGAAAATCCTCGAAACTTCAGGGTTGGGGGGCTGGTTTTCCAATTCTTTTGCTTGTTGTTCAGCGGTCTTCAACCGTTGACATGCACTTAACCTCACTTTTTTTGGCACTCTGTCCGTAAGTTAATTGCGTTTGATTTTATTGTTATCATTGTTTTTTTTTTGATTTATTGTACTTTTTGTAGATTAAATCTGCTATACCCGATATTAATTTCGTTACAATTGGCTAACAAGTACAGCCGGTACTTCTACTCTACCATATACTCTACCTTGTTTCTGAGACTATCGATGGATAACGACAATTAAATGTTGTTAGATAGAATTGTTTCTACCAAATGTGTATTAAACGACTTTGTGTTAATAGATTGTGTATCAATTGATCTGTCAAAAGACTAAAAGCTGAAATATCTTTATGTTGTAAATATAAATGATAAATAAGTATAGTAGCTTATTTAATAGTAGTTTAGTTCTTTGATTATATATAATATGGATTGAGCTAACTGAATATATCTACTAACAAAAATGTTGCTCAAGGTGAATAGACGCAGATGGAAAGCGATAATGTGAAAGTGTAACAAAGATAGATATATTATATGTCAGTACGCTTCTATATCTATCTCACTTCTATCAGTACACCCATTATATGGCAGTACGCTTCTATGTCTATCTCGGTTCGACCACCTTGCGCAAGCTATCTCTCTCGTTGGCTCAATCCATACTATATATAATCAAAGGTTTAGTTAAATTAAAATAGTTATTAAAAAGATATGTGGGTTACAAAATAAAAATAAATAAATAATCCGTGTAACGATGGCAACAAACTGTGTATTTAACCAAATGACAATTACAACTGACAACACAAGCAATGTTAACCATGTATTTTTTCGTATTAAATCCTAACCTCAAATTGTTTAATTTATACCCACGCACAAAATAAAAAGTTATTTTCGCTAAACTTGTTGAGATTACAACATAATTAATAATTATTCATAATGACACCTATGTGAAGTTAACCCCCAATTAAATAGAATTTTACATGTATAGTATTTTAATTATAACATGAGAACCAGCGAACCGATTTCGATAAACAATGTCTCATTCGAAAGCTTAATCCATGGCCAATACGAAAGTGGAAATGCCCGATTGACGATGTGACGATAGCAACGATAGCAACAAACCTTCCAACAACCGATATGTTAATATTAAGATCAATAAAAGACGAAGAACACCGCTCTGTACGTAAAATAGCTTAATATTACAAAACTTCAAGCCCTTGTGCAATTGTTATCAAACCGAATTTTAAAAAACTGTGTTCACAATCAGAAAGAACACTCCTTCAAATATCTTAATCCGGGTTTTTGTTGGTCAATATCTATTAGCATCATGGTTAAATCACCTTTAATATACATCTCTATATACAGAAACGTTTAATTGCTCTAACTCTAATCAACTTTCTTATTTGATATGAGGAAAACTATAGAAGTATATCTATTTTATCAAAAAGTAACTGCTCTTTTTAATGGTGTATAATACGCAGCTATCGCTCACTTGCACAAGGACGTGTTTGCTAAAAAAATTACAAAATTCACACGTTTTAGCCACTTTTTAACATTGTTGGGATAAATAACTTCCTTATATAACCAGGAGAAAACTCTATAACCAAGCAACGATCGCTGCGTGTTATACACAATTAGAAAGAGCAGAAAATTATAGATAAGATAAATATATTTCTATAGTTTTCTCCTTATCAAATAAGAAAGATATTAGCTAAGAAAGTAGATGGGAAATTACGGATACAAGTTTGTTGCTATTGGACAAACGGGGAAGAGGCTGGAAACTAGAATTCGTAAACATAAAACTAAAGAAAATTCCAATGTTTGTAAGCACCACATAGAGACTGAACATAATATAAATTATGGAGGAGTTGAGCTTTTACATTTGTGTAACAAAGGTATAAAATTGTATTTTTTCGAAATTTTAAAAATTACTAAATATAAGAATAATACCTATCCATAAACAATGAACAAGTTCAACTTTTCCATAAACCTATCTTTTCATACTTAAATAATTACAATTTAAAAATTTAAATTTTTTGTCTTGTTTTCCTGTTTTACTACGTCTTGTTCTCTGTTACCAGTCCTACCCAGTCCTACCAGTTTCTTCTTCTCGCTTCGCTGAGATGGTCATGTTTAACAACTAACGTTTCATATTTTATTATTTTTGCAATTTTTAATTTCGACCATCATTTTTAAATTGTAAGTTTTTGTATATTTGTTAGATTTTTTTTAATTTTAATGCTTTGATTACATTTTAGATCATACTACGCATCACGCTATAACGTCTACGCCATTTTGAATTTTTATAAATTAACGCGCCTTTTTTTTTTTTGGCTGTTTATCATAATTTATCAGATGTGTAATATTTCAAATATTCTTTCCGTTATCTTCGCCTTTTGACAGTGAGTATTTTATTATTTTACCGGTTTCAGGCTGTAAGAAGGTCCTTAACATTCACAAAAGTTGGTTTGTAATGTACCTTATAACTGTATTAGAAATGTAAAAATGACATATCGGTATTGTAAAAATGACATATTGGTAATGTTATATTTTTACAATACAGGAAAAGAAGCTACATATTTAATAAACCTTAATTATGAAAATTTTAAGTAACAATGGAACAGAAACCTAATGCTATTTTTAATAATAGTAATTATTTATGTTCACCATGCAATTAAAACAACCCGAAAGGAGTGATGCATTAGTTAGTTTAGGTAAATTAACGTCACTCATTTTACAAATTAATGAATTTAAAAAAAATAAAATATTTGTTGACAAATAAACATCTTTGTGACTGCCTAGCAACTAACTTGTATAACGACTTTGACATTTACGGAAAAAGTTGCAAATGAATTTTTGATTTACTATTGTTCACATTAAAGTCATCAAAATGCGAAGGTGGTCGCCTGAAACCGATAAACTATTGAACAAACCTCGATGTTATGACACATTACAGCCTTAGATGTCTTAAAATCCTCGCTCTTCGAGCTCGGATTTCAATCTGACATCTGCGGCTGTAATAAATGTCATAACATTTCTCGGTATGTTAATAGCTATAATATTCATAGTATAATTTTGTAATAGTTGTCGATTATCTGTTTAGCTTTCGGCTGATAATGAAGTTTTTACTTTGAAGCCGGTACCGATTGATATTAAAATTATTTGCAAGTTCAAAGTTCATATCTTTCGTTTTATTTACCTATTCAATATTGAATTAAAATATATTAAATTAAATAAATATTAAAATTATATTAGAAGATTTTATACTATTTTAAGTATTCATTAATGTAACTAAAAATCTTATTTCGACACAAAATTCTTAACCCTTCAGTAGTCTCGTAAAAATAGTAATTTCAGAGATCGCATGGATAATAATAGTCATCCATTTGCTTCTCTCTACAAACTTTCATTGAATTTGCATCCTTTTAACATAATATAGAGATTTAATCTATTTTAAATATTATATTTAGTTAATACGTTTATTTAATACAAATATAAGGCAACTGTAATAAAATACCAGCTGTAAAAATAAGAATTATTATTTATAGGAACTCAATCTGTTTTTACAATTGATGACTATTGTTTCTTCTGTTCTTAGCGTTACCCAGGTTGCACTACGAGGAAGTGAACAGAGACGCAACCCAAAAATAAAGTATAACTAGATATACTTTATAATTTTTAATTGAAAATCTTAAGGTTCGTTATCTGATTGATACTCATCTGCAATTTCCTCCAGGTCTCGTTACTCAGTTGGCTTCATAGGGTCGTGCATCTCGCAGCTAATCGATAAAATTCCTCCGCCTTATCAAGATTCTTCGCTGTGCATGATTTGTGGAAAATATATTTGGCAAGATTCCCTGGGGGATGACTTTTAGTACGGCCAGATGTTGACATACTACTCTTCGCATGACGCCAGGTGGATTGGATGGCATTGGTGTGCGCGCCAGTTTCCGGATCCTTAAAATTAATTGAGTGATTAACTGTAAGGTGTCCATACCCGTGTCTTTTCACGCAATCGTATGCTTTCCAAAAATCCGAAATAATGGTGGTACCGGGAAGTATCCACTTTTCAATCAATGGAATCAGGGTACCTGCCTTTCTATCTTCCACATGAAGAGCCTCCATGAAGACGCGACCCGTTCCGCATTCATATCCGCCAAACACACTGGCCTTCACCACGGTGTCCTCGATGGTATTTTCTTCTAACAAACTTGCTCTCGTCTATCTCGACAATAGAGCCAGGACCACCTTACCTTTCTGGGTGCAACAGATATTTATCCACGACTACCTCTCGACAGAACGACGCCCAATCAACAGCTGTTGGCAAGGACATCTCGGTAAGCTTCGCAATGAGGTTCAGATTTGCCTTTTCCATCCAAAGAAACGCGAACCCTAAAATTTGCCATATTTGTAATTTTGAATGTGCAAAAAAGATGCCTTTTCGAAACGATACAACCTTACGGCACCTCTTTCTTTTTTGTTTCCGAATGGAAACTTGCCCATTGCACTTCCACAAGTATCTATCAATTGCATCACTGCAATGTTGTAAAACAAGAGGGGTCTCACATTCAGAACACTTATACTTACCCTCCTTGGGGATGGATCCCCATTCCCTCAGGCGGTTAACCAACTCATCTCCTTTCAAAGATCGGAGATTATGAAAATAATCTTATCAATCAAAAAGAATAAAAATTAATATCTAAAATTATGGAAAACAAATCCAACTTACCGCAGTCATTCAGTACGTGTACAGTTGTACAGGTTGAATTTTCAGTTCACCACAAAAAAATTCACAGGAAATAGGTTAGTCACAAGTACAGCAAAATGTCAATCAAATACACAGCTTTCAATAGAATAGTTGCCAGAAGACCCTGAGGTCCAACATGTAAGTTACGCAAGTGTTCATCTCCTATAATCAGGTAAGTTAGTTTATGTCCTTTTGGTAATATAATAAGGTGTCTGGTATCAAAGGGATAGTCGCTATTGGTCAATCTACCACCAACTCGCAACAGGTCATCAATGAGAAATGGATCCAAACCCAACAAACCACTGTCACTAGGTAAGCTGTGTCCAGCTTTTGACCGTTTAATTTCGCTAGAAAAGCTTTCCAATTGAGCAATTCTTATCAGTTTTCAGAGTGCATTCCTAAGCTCGTCCCCAGAAATTTCACTACAAGGATTCTTAGTTTTGTTCTTAGTTCTGTCGATAAACCTTAAACAATCAGCTGTAACCCTTTGTAACCTATGTAACGATGAATATTTTGAAAATAAATCAAGTTTTTGAACGTTTATAAATACCATTTTATTTTTCCTAGCTTCTGGTACCTCGCTTATCCCTTGTATTTCCTTGCTCAGCCAAATCTCTTCTGTTTGTGATAACCACTGAGAGCCAGTCCACCAAATATCTGCATTTACAAGTGCTGAAGCATCCATTCCCCTGGAAGCCAGATCTGCTGGATTGTCCATAGATGGAATGTGCCTCCATTGATTTTCTTCGGTGAATTCTTGAATTTGTGCAACTCGATTTGATACAAATACTTGCCATCTGCTTGGTTCCGAGTTGATCCAGTTTGTGTTATCATTGAATCGCACCAAAGAATGATAGACGTAGGAACGTTATTTAATGCTCTAAGTGTATTCGTCAATAAGTTTGCTAATAAAAGTGCTCCGCAAAGCTCTAATATCGGTACCGTTAACCCCTTTAAAGATGCCACTCTTGTTTTGGAAGCTAACAATGATGTTTTTACTAAAAATGCATGACGGTGAATTTTGAACGTATTTAATGCTGAAAAAACATTACAAAGCTTTATCCAAGTGCTATGCAGCTCTTCAGGAATCGATTCATCCCAATAGGTCTGTAATTGCCACGTTTCTGTAGGACTAACTTCGCTCTAACAGTAGTAGATGCTATTAATCCCAATGGATCAAAAATATGTGATATGGTAGATAGTATAGTCCGTTTCGTTACAACGCTTGTTGGAGGAATGAATTTAACTCTGTAATGTAAAGTATCCGTAGCTGAATTCCAAACCAATCCAAGAGTTTTAGTTTCGATGTCCTTTGTTAAACAATGATCCACTCCTTCCTTACTTTGGTCGAATTCATCTATATTCGATTGACACTTCTCAATTCAAAACCATAATGTTGTAATGCCTCTGTTAGTTGTCGTTTTATTTCAAAAGCTTGACTGATGGTATTCGTGCCAGTCAGCAAATCATCTACATAAAAATCCCTCAAAATAATACTGCTAATCCGAGGTAAATCCTGTTTGATGTCGTGAACAATTTGTTATAAACTTCTAATTACTAAAAATGCAGCTGACACCGTTCCACAAGTAAGCGTGTTAAGTCTGTAATGATGCAGAGGTTGTCCACTGCCAAGTTTGATCTGTCCAATGGAAATTAACTGTGCGAAAATTCCTGCTCCCAAAAGAAGATCGATCTGACTCGGCTCGCAGAAATTAGGATCAGCCAATTTTACCTGTACTGGTATTTGCATCTCCTTCTGTTTTACTCTAAAATTTAGAAATTCGTCAGAAATCTGCTCAATAGTCAAAAATGATAAATTTACGTGGAAATTGTTATAAATCGATTTAATCTGTGTACTCACGCCTTCGGTAATACGTGTAGCTGTTTGGTTAATTCCTGTTACTGGCAAATCTACCTTGTATGTGTGCAGTTTCAACCTTTGGGTTAAATCATTTGTAATAAAGTTGGATTGAGAACCAGAATCCAATAAAGCTCGTGCTCTTTGCTATTTACCTTCTCCATTCTTTACATCAACTATCGCTGTTGACAAAAAAAACCTTCTGCTCGTTGGTGGCTTTCAAAGCTTGTACCGTTGGTTGTTCATCGTTTTCTTTGGTGTTCTCTGGTGTTGTATTTGTCGCTGTTGGAATTGGTTTTGCCACATGCAACAATGTATTATGCCTTTCTGCACATTTTTAGCACGTGGACAGCGTATTACATTTACTCGCAAAATGGCCACCTTTCAAACAATTGATACAAAGTTTCAATCGTTTTGCCTCGTTATACTTTGTTTTTACATCTAAATCTTTAAATTTTCCGCAATTGTAGATCATGTGATTTCCCTTGCATAGGTAGCATTCCGCTTTGTCGACGGTCAAATGTGCCGATACCTTTCCAATTTTTGGTTTGCCTCTTTCGATCGTTTCGATAACATTGCATCGGTTTGTTAAAAAATCTGTCATACTTTGTGCATCTGGTATTTGTTTCCTTTTGTACGTTTCAACAACGTGTTCTTCCCATTTAAATCGCGTTGTTTCATCTAATTTTCTGACTAAGATATGAATTAAAAGCGTACCCCATTGCTTGACGGGTTCACCTAATGCCTTTAATGCGCGCGTGTACCTGTTGTAATCGTCAAATAAACGACGTAAATGCATATGAGATTCCTTTGTAATCGCTGGTAATTCGAACAACGCCGATACGTGAGTTTTTATTATTTTTTCTTTGTTCTCGAATCTTTCTTTTAACAAATCACGTGCAATCTTGTAATTATCTCGCGTTATCTCTAATGAAGCGATTGTTTTCGCCCCATCACCCTTTAAACAGCTGATCAAATAATAAAATTTGTTTATATCATCCATATACGGATTATGGCATTATGTACCAAAGCACAAAAAGTTTCATCGAAATGTACCCAATCCACGTAATCATCATAAAAATTAGGAAGATCTAACGTCGGTAATTTTACATTTTTTTGTTGAATTGAATCGCTTTGTCTCGGAAGCGCGTAAAAATCTATTGTATCATTCGTCGCCGCCGACGTAGTCGGTGTCCGTATTATGTGTTTTTCCAGGAATTCATTCGCCTTAGACAGGATCGCAAAATACTTATTTTCAAAATTATCGCGTTCATTGCCTGTTAACTCGTTTTCGTCGATTAATTCTAATTCTGATTGTATCTCGTTAAACTCGGCTAAAGCGTCCTTGACGTGTTCTAACCGAATTCTTGCCTCGTTTGCATTTTCCGGTAACGCCTTTTCAATATATATTTCAAATGTAGTAGTTTTTGCTTTTATTTGACCTCTACTTACTGTTAAAACTTTCTTTCGTTCTGCCATTGTTGAATGAAAATGTAGGAAGGTAAGAAAAGGAACGGGACTTACGTATGTACGTCACTGCGTTGCTCTTCCCATGGACGCCCAAAAGCACCCAAAAGTGCTTTTGTTGCTGTAACTATCCGGTTCGAAAGACCATATGTTGGGGGGTTGAACAATGAGATTCACGAATCCCCCATAATTTCTTACGTTGGGATTTTTAATAAGTACTTTTTGTTACTTTCAATAAAACACTTTCTATTGGAATCGTTGGAAATGGAATGATGATGTCTCTCTTTATTTCGATCTCTCTCTTACAAAATAAAAGTCATTCGGAAGTAGCGCCATCTCGCGTTCGCGGCACAAACTTACAACTAATAATCAAACAGCAATGATAACGAAATTGATTTTCCGCCGACAACGTTTTCGATTGTAAGAAGTTTTAACACTTTCAAGAGAGTGTTGACTTGTCTGCGATCTACAATGGCTAACTAGCGGCAGAATGATCTATACATGCCAAGTGTCCATGGAGAGAAGGGCAATGATCAATTTTGCATTGATGTCTTAGATAGAATTGAGAGCGGTTAACGCAATCTAGTGGAATCCTTTTAATACAGTAACACTGATATATGCTGTTACAAGATACACAAATATATCTCCTGACATCATCCTGGATAGATCAGCAGGAAATACCAGCTACATAAAATCATCGTCAAAGAGACGGACTATGGCAATATTACTGTGTTGGTTTTACTAGACTACAGCAGAGCATTTCACACTGTGTGTCATGAAGTTTTAATCGCAAATTTATTTTGTCTTAGTGTGGGTGGCCGGTCACTTGAGCTGTTAAGATCGTATATTACGGGAAGAACCCAGTGTGTGATGCTCGAAGGTGTGCACTCCTAGGCAGAAAGTATGCACTGTCTATTCTGGTCTACTACACTTGAAGTTGAATCCGATGAAATGCCAGGGTGTTGTGTTTGGATCAGTATTGAAGTTGGTGGCACGGCAATTCAGTTAGCTACTTGTGTGCGTAGTCTGGGCCTCCATATGGACGCTGATCTTCCGTTTGAACATAATGCCTCTTCAACAAGGCGTTCAATGGTTTGGGATATGTATACCATAATAGACATCTTTTGGATCGAGATTGCAGAAGAATACTGTGCGAGGCGTGGGTGCTCAACAATCTAAATGGTGCAATTTTGCATTTTCAACATTTTTAGTGATTGTTATAGAATCCAGAAAATGTTGAACTGTTATTTCCGTTTAATATAATACGGTATCAAAAGAGGTGAAAGGTTGTTCTGGATACGACTCAATCATCAATGATTGTCCATTTAAAAACGTCGCGCGTCGCCACCTCTGTAGTACTATGTTCTTTTATCGGATCCTGAAGAGTGGTGTCCCGTTGTACTTGTATGAACGGTTACAACTGAGAACAGAGGCTCATGAGGTTAACATCCGTAGCCGTAGCCTTTTCAGTATTCCAAATCATAATTCTCAGTTATTCAAACGCAGTTTTTCATACAGAGTGGTGAATTGTCTAAACCCGCTGATTTCGAGGTTTTGGCTTTGTGATAACTGATCGGTTTGTGCAAGGGCAAGTGATTAGCGAAACTATGCGCAATTGAAATTATAAACAATTATAAATAATAGCAACGTTTTTCATTTTGTCTCGAATTTAATTCAATTTTGTTTTGATTTAGCTGTTTTTGTTTGCACATATCTTGTCTAGATTAGTGTACTTCATAGCCGTATATATCGTCGATTTTCTTTTGTTTTTTTTAATTTTTGGTGTTTCTTTTTTTTTCTTATTATTACATATACAGGGGCTTTGGTAGAACACTTTATCGGAGTCATAACAATCATGAACTCAGTGAAACCAGTGAAGAAAAAAGTGTACCCTTTTGTTTTGAATAACCTATTTTGTAAGTTAATTTAATTACTTAAGATTAATTAAAAAATTCTCTTGGTTTTTATATATTACCAATTTTTGTTTATGTAATATTACGGTTTTCAAATCAATAAATGATTATTATTATTATATAAGTCATCATATGTCTAGATTGCACTATTTTTAAGTTATTTCAATTTTTTCGAAAACTTTGGCAGATGCACTTCTTCATAATAAAAATAATTTTTCGAAATTATATTCGAGTCAGGCCAAATATTCTCAGGATTTACATAAATAAGACCCATAGCTTATATGATCTTTGAAAATATTTATTACACATTATATAGGCTGGTCAGAAATTTGCGTCAAATTTTCCTATCTCGAAAAGTCGGAAAGTTAACTTTTTTAAATGGTAACCCCACTTTTTTATTCATCAGCGTATTTTGCGTTAAAAATAAGCAGACTTTGTGATTACATCCCTGTATCTAAAATGAATGATTTTAGTAGAAACTTGAAAAAACCGATTTTTCGTGGTTATTTGAAAATTTTAAATCGTCAGTTGCCTTTGATTTGAAAGAAACGATATGAAATAAAAACTATTCTACGCTAGAAAGTAAGGGGACTTTGCGATTAACGTCAAAACAAAGGAGTCTGCTACTTTCGAACATACAGCCCATGGAGGAGGAAAATTCTCCTCAAAACCCGACATCCACACATTTTACAATTTTCGTAATTGAATAAAAATTTATGCCAGCAGGAGAAAAATTAAGGTACTATATTTAACAATATGTATAAATAAAAATAAGGAAAAATTAAGGAACGATTTATATCTTAAATTGAAGTTAAAGGATTACGCTTTAGGGTTAGATATAAAAACCACGTGTAGAATTATAAAAATTTCTTGATAAAATATTTTAAAAGAGGAATTGTTAAATTTATACATACAGTATGCAAAATCCGTACACACGGAAAAATTGGAAAATCATGAATTACCTAAGAAAGGTAAAACAAATTTCATATACTTTTATTGATTTATTTCACTTAAAAAAAATAAGACTACTATCCTGCAAAAAGTCAAGGCCCCTCACTTTAGAGATCGATATCTTTGCAACCGATCGATGAAAAAAATTGCGACAAAGTTTGTTGTAATCACTGAACATTTCTACGTAACATATGTTAATTTGAAAATTTTCGGATCCGCGGTTTCCTTTTTATCGCGAGTTAAGTGAAAAAAGTACCGGTTTTTTGACGGTACCGCAACTATGTCAACTTTGCGATTTTTTTTCTCGAAAACTATCGTACGAAAAAATGACATTGAAATTTGGACAGATGGTAGGCTGATGTGTTCTTAATGAGTGGCATATTTTATTTTTTCGATATTCCAAATAGTTTCGCGGAAAATCGCGGTTTAGTAAGACTCCGTTATATCGAAAACATCGAAAACAAATAATGTCGGTTGTCGGATTCCGTTATCAGTTTTTCAAAATTAAGGCTCCCTAATTTTTTAAGAGCGATTTAATGAAATTACAAATTAAAGAGAAACAGAAATAAGCCATGCGGGGAGAGGTGGGGTTCCTCTACTGGCTATAGTAAAACGGACTCCATAATCGTCTTTCTCATGCCAAAAAACCTCCGTATACCAACTTTGAATAGAATCGGTTGAAATAGACGTGTAATATTAAATAAAAATCAATTAAAACAATTAACTTAAACACCTGTATCTTCAAAACAAAGCGTTTGTGGACCTATGTTTATATGAAGTTTTTGTGCTAATTTTCAAAGATCTATCGATTGTTAAAGTCCTGCTACAAAAACCTGAAACACCCTGTCAATTAAATTTATTGTTTGGTTTTGTTTTAATTTTCAATTTTGTAAAGGTTCTCTGCCTGATATCTCCCCTACTTTAGTTTACTGCGAACGTTTCGACTGTCTGAATTGCCGACCAATGGAACGATTGTTTAGATTGATAACGTTCGGAAAGAAAGGGTTTAAAAATTTCAGATGGGAAAAAGAACATTAATCCGCAGTGAAGTCCGGTTTTAAAAAGTTGGAGTTAAGTTCGAGTCGGGCTCGAGTTGGAGTTCCAGTTAGAGTTGAGTTGAGACTTTGGATATGGATTCTTGGGAAAGAAGTTGGAAGCAGCAGAGGATGTTCCAGAGGGTCAAGAAGTAGCAGAGTCAAAACGAAATTAGAGAAATAACATCGCTGGTCAGAAGAAACCCGTAACACGATGAGATTTTTAAACCTGTGTGAGTAACATTCTGTACATCAATGCTAACTGCTTTCGTTTTGTTGATTTAGTATGTCTTCGTATTGTTGGTTGGTATGTGTTTTCGTATACCTAATTTGGTACGCTTTTGTTGGATAAGTTTTGTTCAATAATTTTTGTTTGGTTAATTTTGTTCAATTATATTTGTTTGATAAATTTTGTTTACTAGATTTTGGTTTGTAGTTTTTTTTTGATCTTGATTAAAAATTTTTGTTTCTTTGTTTCTTTTGTAGTTTTGTTTTTTATTTAATAAATTTAAAGTAAAGATTAAAATTAAAATTTTCTTTTATCTTGACCAAATTAATAATTGCGTGACAAATTTCCATTTGTCGCATACGCATTGCACACCCACACATTTATGTAAGAGCCGCTCCTTACAAGATTATGCAATGGAATACGCAGTCGGTGCGCTCAAAAAGAGAAAACTTTAAAAAAAGGAGACTACTTTTTGATTTTAACATTGATGTGGTCCTTATTTCTGAAACCTGGTTTAAGCCTGACACGATAGTTAAATTTAAAGGTTACAATATTATTCGAGACGACAGAAATTCAATTAGCTGATTTAGCTCCACTTTTACCACCTCTAGTTAAAGTGGTTGTTAACTTTAACTAATGGTTAACGCAAACATTTTACCACCATATTTACCTTGTTGATAGCGCTAACTAATAGTTATTTTCGGACTATCCTTAACTATCTTAACTATTAATCTAACCTAAAATCATAATAAACGCTTACGTTCGCTCAAAACTTCATAATAGTGAGTAAAACGGTGTTATTGTCGTGTTATAACAGTGTCACACAGCGATAGAATGAAAATCATGGATTTCGAAAGGTTTGAAATTGATGAGCAAGAAATCTTG